CCCAATAGCTGGGTTTGTCCCTTTTTAACCCAGCATTTTTTAGAGTGTGGCAATAAAAAAAATAAAAAAAAAAGTGAAATGGCTGTGGCTATATTTAAAAAATAAAAAAACAATACTTTTCTGTTATTTTACATAGTACACTGCACGAGACAGAGCAGGCGTATATATATATATATATATATATATATATATATACAAGATATTTCGCATAAACCCAGAGAAAGAAGCCAGAGAGCATCAAATGCGCTTTTATCACTGGCTAAAATAACAACAGTTTATTTTGGCAGAGGGTCTGGTTTTCTTTCTCCCATGCCAAGCCTTCTGCCTGATTGGAGCACCAGAAAATGTGACCCCATTTGCCTCTTATACAATAAGAAAAACAACAAAAATGGCATGGAAACTTTATTTGTACATTTTTTGGAAAATTTGAGTGCTACTTGCCACTATGATGCAAAGGCATTGCTATGTGGACACTATGATATTCTAAACGTTTTTAGAGTGTTGCTATGCAGTTGCCAGGGTGGTTATTTGGGTGTTGCAAGGCAGTTGCTTGGTGGCCGAAGTCAAAAAGATCCCTTTCCTAGAGATTATAAACTGATCCGCAGCTATGGCTTTCAGGAAGTATAACTGTTTAAATAAATTCTTACCCAACCATCACACACAATACACATCTACAGCACCAGCTTGACAGTGACGTCACCCTGTAAATAGACAAAGTAGAATCGTACGGAATGTTCACAAGGAAGCGTTCAAACACAAAGTGTACATTGAATTGGATATCTTTCAAGGGAATGCTTTATAGAGAGTTGAGAAAATAGTACGCAGTTACTCTAATGCAAGTCTATTGGATTTGTTTCACCTGCTTTATCATCCAAAAGGTCAATGGTCATTGCTTAAATGTAACAGCATCTCTTTACAAGAAGCTGCATGATTTGTTCTTTTATTATTAAGTTTTTCAATTCTGATTTTGGCATCAAATGGTAATTAAAACAGGATATTAAAGATAAAATGTGTTGTGCCAGCACACTACAGCGGTTAATGTTATTTTGACAAATTTTTACAATTTTTTTATATATATATATATATAAAATAGAACATTAACGTGCCTTAGTGTGGACTCTAATCTATTTATCTTTATAGTTCTTGGTGTGTGTGGGCCTTAATACTTGCCTTATATGAACTATGAGCCAAAAAAAAAAAAAGCTTGTGACTTCAATAGCCCACCATAGGTTTTGACGTAGTGTTGTGTCACGGAAAAGCAAAATAGACTTTTATTAAATGTCTTGTTTTGTCCAGTAATCTCCAAGGATTTATTCGACAATAACCCATTTAATTTCATACGCACTGAAAAAACAGATATAGTTCAGATAAGAGCACAACGTCACCGCTTTGCACATAGCAGGACATCATAGGTGTTTAAGGCAACCGTTATCCAATTTCAGATTATCTATTCTCCGCACGGTTTTGACACCCAAGCCCTTTGCATGGCCTTCTACAGGTTCCTTATATATGATGTCTCATATTTGACAGTGGAGACCACAACAAAGAAAGCTTTTGAAGCCGATGTGGAGTGATCTGGATGAGTAAGTGACATATCATTCCTCCAAGGCCTCTCCTTTGTTTGCTACGTAAAGCACAGTGAAACCAAACCTACTTAGCTTAACTTGAATGTTTTCCCACCTTTTCAGGGGGATTGCGTTCTCAATGACTGAAGAAATAAATAAAAAAACACCTGAAACCAACTTTGACCGTCCCCTTAAAACTAAATATTGGTTTGTCTAGTACATTGCGACTACTTAGGACGTCCAAAATTCAGAATACGGTACACAGAAAGTACAACTGTGTTTATATTAATTTCCACACATCAAAAACGACCAGCACAACTATGACGTCAACCTGCGAACACAAAGTAGCATCTTACATGTTCCCACACTTGTATCGGATCAGCTGACACTCGACGGTGGTAACATAGTGATGTAATGTCCTGTGGAGTTCTTAGAACAGGGCAGGCCTCATTCTTGGTCTATTTGTGTAGTCTGTTACATTGCCTGTGAGAGACTGGTGTTTGTGTTGATGTAACCATCACAGGTTGTGTGCGCTATTTGGTCCATATTTGTCATGCCGATGTCCAGCGTTTCAGAACACCTCGGCATTCCAGACATGTTTTGGAAGCAATACACACTCACAAGATCCCTGCTCAGTTCCTGAAGCTCCCAAACAGCACACTTTTAGGATGCTTCTCTTATCTGATACACCCGTTTCAGGCATTGGAGTCTTTGATATTGAGCTGATGAATGGAATCAGGTGTGTTTGATTATGGAGAGTGTGCTGAGGGTCTTCAGGCTTGGGAAAAGCTGCTGTAGGAATTTTACACAATATGGCTACAGGTCATGGGTGTGTTTTATTCTGCCTTAAGGTCATTACCACAATCATGTAGTTCATATTTTTGCCTTTTAACAAGGTGGTTGGTTTGTATTCACGCATGCTGTCCGGTCTAACATAGTATGGTAGATTAGAATTAGTATCTAAATAGAAGTCATAAATACTACACTACCATTCAAAAGTTAGAATTTAGTAAAAAAAAAAAAAAAAGCAAATTAATACCTTTATTCAGCCAAAGCGCATAAAATTGCTCAACAGTGACAGAAAAGACATTACATTTTAAAGTATTAAAATAGAAAACAGTTATTTAAAATTAAAATATTTTACAATATTACTTTTTAATAATTATTGGACTAATATTGCCTACAACCACTTGAACAACAACGGCAGAGTTGTTGTGATGCTGTCATTGGGAGATTTTCTGTTGAAGAAAAGTGGCCAGAAAAGCTTCCAAATCTAATATTTTTTTCTATTATGAATTTGAAACCTGTGAATTTTAAGGTAATGAATTTAGCTAATATTTACATACAAACACAAACAGTGTGAGACAAGAGGTTGTATGGTGTTTTATGCAGTGACCGCATGCCCCAATATTGGTGCGCTACTCCCAGTCATCTGTTAAGTACATGATGTATTGGCCCAGCCATAGCCAGGGTTATTTTTATCCGTATAAATTAAATATGCTGTCTACTTGTCGTGACTATGGCCTATTCCTCAGCAGGGCAGCATGGAATGGAGGACACTCCATCATGCTATTGGCAGCGTCATTTGACCTACATATTTAGGCTCCTGTTGTCTTTAGCAGTTGAGACCACCCACAGTAGAGTCTTTTTCTAGTGGACACTGATATAGATTCTGTACTCTGTTAACACACTTGCACCCTCTGTCTGGTCAGATAATATCTCACACAGGATCACCCGGCTTCTCAATATTCTGCTCACTGCATCACCGCATTTTTACATTGCATTGCTATTTAGAAACAGCCACCCGTACCCCCTACAGCTTCAGACATAATTCAGTTGTAAAACACACCTTGGTTAAATGAGTCACATTTGAATAAGTCTTTGAGAACCAGCTTCTCAGTTCCCTGAAACATTCTTTCTCTGTAGAATTATTTTACTGTAATAATTACCTATTCTCTCATACACACATACAGTCTTTGAATTCTTCTGTCATCTGCACTCATTCCCAAGTAATAATAAACAGACAACTGATGGAAAGAGAGAGAGATGGGAGAGGCAGAAACCACATCAGACAGAATAAGAGACATTTGCCCAAACATACACGTGCCCACACCTCTGCCAGACCCTAAGGTAGATGGCAACCAATGTGTCTTCATTTTGTTTTCCACTGTTTTAGTGATGATTCATTGTGATATGAAGTTTGCGTTTAATATAAAACACATCTGTTATGGAGGCTGACTGTCAGACCCAGACTCATCCTCATGCATTCAGGACTGCTTTCACCGCTAATTAACTCATGCAATATTAAATATTTCTGATGAAAATTTTTTTTATTTAATAATTTATAACTTGATTCTGATTGGTCAATAACAGCATCCTGGTGTCAAATATTTCTGAAAAATTACTGCTAAACTGGGACTGTTTCAGTGTGCAACATATCCTTTGTCTTTTCAAATATTGAGTTGAAAATTCCAATATGTATGTATTTATTTACACTACCGTTCAAAAGTTTGGAATCAGTAAAACATTTTTTAAAGTAAGTAATACTTTTATTTAGCAAGGACACATTAAATTGATCAACAGTGACAGTAAAGACTTAATTTATCACAGTTTCCAGAGAAATATTAGGCATAGTCAGCACAACTGTTCTCATCAAGCACCAAATCAGCATATTAGAATGATTTCTGAAGGATCATGTGACATTGAAGACTGGAGTAATGATGCTGAAAATTCAGCTGTCATCACAGGAATAAATTACATTAACATATATTAAGCTGTAATAGTACAATATTACTGTTTTTACTTTATTTCTGATCAAATAAATGTAAACTTGGTGAGCATAAGAAATTTTTTCAAAAACAAAATCTTTTGATCAGTAGTGTATTTATTTGGCCAGTGGCCATATGATAGTGTATGTAATTTATTGTTGAAAATATTTTTCCCCACCCATGTGGCTTTGATTACATCAGCTAGCAAAAATGATTTCAGAGTGATTTGAGAGGCAGAGAATAACATTTGCTGACATACGCTTCAGGGTAATTCATCAGTCTGTTGCAGTGTTGCTAAAATGAACAACCCGATGGCAATACCACATAACTCCGTAAATGATTTAATCCTAGTTCTGTAGATTATTTTAGAATTTTTTTAAAGGCTTTTTATAAAAGATTTCCCATTACAGTGGCTGAAAAAAAGAAGCAGCTCTTCTCAAAAAGGAACCCTGGGTATCTTTGCAAGCATGACCTCGCTGAGACAGTTGTCACCAGTCCCCAAATAAGGGCCCAGCCAACAATGAGGGGCAGTGCATTCGTGAGTAAAAGGGGACATGATGGATAGAGACTAAAGGAAAGGGCACCTGGGTTAAAGACGGCAGAAACTGAGTGTCTTGGTGTGAGTTAGATCGGGGCTAAGTGACGCTCTCTCTGTATCGGATCTGCAGACCATGATGCAGTGTCACGGGAGACAGAGCTACACCAGGCTTGGTGTGTGGTACGTACAGGATGTGTATTTACATTTATGGGCTCTTCTTGTGGGCACACTGACATTGTTGGGTTATGGACATACTAATGGATTTACAAGGTTTGGCTACACAGTCTTCTACATCATTACTGCACAACCAGAGGTCTGGGTCTGGTTGAATACGTTGTATTTGTCTGGGTTTCTGTATGAAGAGGGGATTACATGTTTTTTGGTTGTTTAGTTTTTTTTCAAATGGCTTTAGAAATATAATTGTTTTGAGAATCTTATGTTGTGTTTTTCTTGCTGTAGGCCGTCTTTGAGACGAGGAAGTTCTTTTATCTTCCTGACACCTGGACCTCAGTGGGACTTCACGCTGGTGAGTAGCTTATGACATTCATATGACTCTTTCTCAAGCATGCAAAACACAGTAGCTCTGTTCCTTGCCACCTTGCTGTCCACTGTCAATATAGGCAGCTAGCTACTAAGGTAGCATCATAAGTGTGTCATTGAATAAGTGATTTGAAACGGTCTTCATAGCATCTCTCCATTGAATCAAAAGACAGACTTGACTCCTGGTTGATTTCAAGTAGAGTTTGACATTAGCATGTTGCTATGATAACATCACTATAATTCTTATGCAAACACATATTAGCTGTAGGATGTATAGCATAACCTACATGGATACACACTTCAGTTTGTACACTGTTTGGAGGACAACATTGGGCAGGATGTAAGAACTTTAAAAAAAATTAAATACTGTCTTTTTTTAATCGGACTAATCACGGATGTAATAAACAGAAATAGGAGAATAATTATTAGTTGCAATTAAATTGGACTATTTAACAATACTTTATCAATAATACTTTGATAATGAACTAACTACTAGCTAGGATTTTTCTTGATTTGGCCACAGTCTTTGATGAATTGTTTCATAACTTGTCTCATTGCAGTACATTCTAGTATTGCCTTCTCAGAAGAATGCTGAACAGAATAGTTTTAGGCGATTCTATTTAACTATATTACTGTTTTTAATTCATTACTTTTCATTTAGTCCTTTTATTTATAAAGCACTTTACAACTGCACCTGCAGACCAAAGTTCTGTACAAGCAACATACAACTACATCAAATACTTAAACACTCTAACTAAAAAAAAAGAAACACACCAACTAGCCCAGCTACTTGAAGGCTAATGACAAGAAGTAATTTTTAACCCCAGCTTTAAAAGGTGTTTATAGATGTAATCTCCCTAATCTCAATTAATACCACAAGGAAATTAAGCATGACTGTTCTATTCACTTTCACATTACCAGTCCATGTCAGTATATTACTGCCTGTAAGCGGGACCAAAATTTTTATATTAAAAAAACACGTACAACAGGTGACCTTAGTATTTTAAATGACATGAATGCTGTAGCCCAATTAAAGGTGCTTTGCTATGGTTCACCAGTTTTCATGCCTCAGAAACTCTTAATACTACACCCATAAGGTCATTTTTGTTAAACCTTCCATCCTTTTCCTTTGCGTAAGTTCGCAAGTGTACTTTTCCCTTGCCCTTTATGAAAATTTTGGCAGAAATGGTTTTCCACTCAACCAGCACGTTGTTGCCAACTGATGACATCTCAATCCTCTCATGGCATCGCGTGCCTCTGGTTCAGTTGATGCACAAATTGCCTCCGATAAATTCACAAGCACTATATGCAAAGTCCTTATTTCCACTGAATTAGTTAAGCAGTAAATGCAAACTAGTTTGTGATTGAAAGCAGAGAATAGAGCTCGATTAGAGCATTCCAAAGTTTATGACAGCCAAGCAAAACGCAATCCATCTCTCATCTGTAGGAAAACTGGGGGGTGGAAAGATGACGGATCACTTTATCCCATGCCAGAATCTTCCTTTGATATGTCATTTTTTTCATGAATACACACACATTAGCTAATCTATAGCGGGCACATGGGCCTCATTAGCTTCCAGCTCGAGCACCATTATCTCACCTTCAAAACCCTGCCGAGGTGAGAGAGTATTCCTCCCTCCTCTTATTCCTTCTCAGACTCCTGGAACATGAAAGCATAAAAACTTTGTTTTTAATGTGGAAGTAGTTTTTCTGGTTAATGCTGTCTGCCTAGCTGCAGGGTGAACAAGGTGATGCAACAAAAGATGGATTATGCAGGAAGCGACCTGCAGACCTCTGTGATACTGCTGGATTTAATTTTGACAACTTGATGTGCCAACATGCAAAGACGATTTGGAAAAATCTGTCTGGGACATGTTCAAACGTCTGGTTTCATTGTCTTCTAATATGTAAATTTTTGTTGCATCATTTAAAGGTTTCTGTTATGTCTTTAACGGTGGTTTTACACTGCAAGAGTTAGCGGCGCGTGAGCAGTGTGTATTTTTTCCGCTGTGCAAGTTAACAAATGAGTGCATTCACACCGGGAGCAGGAGCGTCGGTTGAGCAGCGCTGAAGCAATGGTTTAGGCGGCGAGTCTATTTTTGCTGCACCACTCATGCTCAATTAAAGTGACAACACACTTCTGATGGACAAAATAAATATGATTTCACACAAAAAGTGCTATAAATGCACAAAATAAGCATGTCTAGTGTGTTTTAACAAGAATTGGAGTATGTCAGAAAAGAAAATGAAGAGTCAAAAATATGATTTACCCATTTAAACTTGTTTATTTATCGGCTTTAAGATATCGGCCAAATTTTCTTATCAGGCCGATACCGATAACAGAAAAAATGAGCCGATATGGGCCGATACCGATATGGTGGCCGATATATCGTGCATCCCTATTTTAATTATTCAGTTTGGGTTAAAGTATGAAAAAAAAACATTAAAAACAGCACATTCTATATCAAAGTATGACTGAAACGTCATGATCGGAGCTGTTTTTGTTGTTTTTCCAGTGTGAATACTCTCACGAGTCTGCAACTGCAGTGAAGATGTAGTTACGCTGACGCGAAGCTTAAGCTTGTTGTGTGAAACAGGTGTAAGTAATTCAATGAAGTATTAAAGGATCAGTTCACTTCCAGAATAAAAATTCTGATAATTTACTCACCCCCATGTCATCCAAGATGTTCATGTCTTTCCAGGATTCCAGGATTTTTCTCGATATAATGGACTTCAATGGTGACCAATGGGCTGAAGGTCCAAATTGCAGTTTCAATGCAGCTTCAAAGGGCTCTACACGATCCCAGCCGAGGAAAAAGGGTCTTATCTAGTGAAACGATCAGTCATTTTCTTAAAAAAATACAAATGTTCATCTTGCAGTAGCTCGACTTCACGTATTACGTAGTAACGTTGGAAAAGTCGCGCGTGATGTAGGCGGAAATACTGACCCAGAGTTTACAAAGCAAACATGTAAAGAAAGTCAAATGCCCTTTATAAAACTAAGGTTAAACAACGATGCCAGACGATTTTGAAGTTGGAGGAGAAAATGAGATGGAGTTTTTCGCCCTACCCTACCTTTTTTGAACCGGAGTACACAGACGAAGAGCTAACCGCACGTGACCTTTCCAACTCGATTATGTAATGTGTGAATTTGCGGACGCGTATCGTGGACCCAGCCGATCCTCCCTATACGCAAAATACGCAAGCTGCGTAGGGCCCCCTTGCTCTTTTAGTTTAGTTTTTTAATTTGGCCAGCGGTTATGAAAACATGAATGATAATTTCTTTTAATACGGTGCGCTGTCGCCCTTTCTACGTAAAAATCGGTCAAATCATGTAATGTGAATGTCGTTCAGTCTTGCTCGAGACTAAAAAAACGAGTTGAAAGCCTACCGAGCTGCGGAAGAGACACTGTTTCTCAAGCGCTTTCCACGAACGTGATTCGAGACTGAGTGAAACACAGACAAATGCGTTTCATTCATTCGTTCATAACCACTCATACCCCACTCCACCGCTGCACAGTTTTGCGTAGGGCCCCCATAAGTCTAGGATCGGCACTGATCACGGAGCTAGTACAGGACTTGCATTTGTGGTTAAAAAGTATATACATTTTTCTTTTTTTAGAAAATGACTGATTGTTTCGCCGAATAAGACCCTATTCCTCATCTGGGATAGTGTAGAGCCCTTTGAAACAGCAATTTGGACCTTCAACCCGCTGGCCACCATTTAAGTCCATTACATGGAAAAAAATCCTGAAACGTTTTCCTCAAAAACCTTAATTTCTTTGCGACTGAAAACAGAAAGACATGAACATATTGGATAACATGGGGGTGAGTAAATTATCAGGAAATTTTTATTCTGGAACTAATCCTTTGAGGCATTACACTTGTTCACTTAATTGTGGAAACTAAACTTGTTCTTATGAAAATGGTTGTTTTGGCATTCACACAACAAATGTGTAGTTTTTCTTCTGTAGCTTCTGGATTACGATGAGTCAGACTGATTGCAGAAGACACAGGAAGCAGCTTGAGACAGCTGAACATTCTACTTTCATTTTATATAAAATGAAAACCATGCCATTAAGTCTTATTTGTAACGTTGACATGCTTAATGAAGTCCACTGTTCACATCCAGTCAGCCTGATGGAAGTCTGCTTTTTTCCCTAATTGAATATCCAGTTTTACTTGGAAAATGTCACATTACAGAAGTTAAATGTGTTGCAAACACCATTTCATGTTGACTTTTTCCTTTTAGTTTTTTTTTTGGCTTTTTAGATTTTTTCCCCTCTTGATTTAAAAGATGGGCTTCATGTATAATAATTTTTGTCCAGATCTTTCAAAATCACAGTATGCAAACCACATGTCTTGGCCATCATGTGCACAAAACTCTTCATCCTAGATCTTACTGACCCCTGCAATATGCGGTGTCCAAAAAAACGTGACTTTGATTGAGCTTGTTGTAATAATCCCATGTTTGCTCTCATAAATTATTTGCAGTAACATCCATTTATGGTTTGTCCACCAGGAACATGCAGTTTGGAGCCAAAATACACGGCCTGTCTATCACTTTGACCTTTTTTTCTGTTGCTCAGTTTTCTTTCTTCTTATTTTGAAGCTTTAGTTTTATTCTTTTGAGTGATTTTTTTTTATGCTTTCCACAAAATACACTAGCAATATCGGTGCCACTTGTAAACTTACAGACCATTAGCCTTTCTCCACTTTCGGATAACACACAAAAGCAGCCGCTTACCTGCATTATCCATTAAAACATTCAAAACCAAACACCACGAGTAACCTGTGATTCACTCAGTAGCTCAGCTTCTGATTGGCCAGCAACCGTTACTGTCAACTAAAACCCTCCAATCACGGCCTTGATTAATTCTCCCCCATTGTCTGTGAATGGGGATTTGCTAAATGATAGCTTGTCATTTATTGTTTGTGTGTTTACCAACTTGTTTGCCATGAATGGGTATGATGTTAAATTAGCCTAATCTACTCATTGCTTCAATGAAACTCGAGGTGAGCTGGCTGTAGGGTGTTTGGTTTTGATCACATAACTTTACAAATTGCTTTCACCTTATAGGAAAACAAAGAGCTCATCAAGACATTACTTCTGTTAGCGACAGCGACATTATGAATAGGGTTTTTTCAATTGATACTGGTCTTATAAACAATCTTAATTGACTTACAAACTAGCCCTGTTTGGGAAAGGTTGAATATAGAGGGACAATGTAGATTATGGGCACATTTGGGTTAAAACTACCACCTGTTTTTAAATGCGTAGCCTCACTCTGGATGAATGGTCCAGATTTACTAGCAGTCAGAAACCTCCCACTTGAGTTGTGGGTTTAATAATGATATTTTGTCTATTACATACATAAGTAATTAATTATTATTACATTATTATTAAATAAAATACAAAATGTTTATTCATGTAGAAAAAAAACATGCAGATTCCATGTGGACCTAGTTATATGGAGGGGCTGATGTCTTCTTGGGAGGTTCATTAAGCTATAACTCTGCTACCAACTAAACGGTCTTAAATGGCCTGTGTTTAGCGGTTTTGGGAAAAGTCCAGGAAAGAGAGCGTAGGCCAATAACAGAGACCCTGGGGGCTCTCGGTGGCCACCACAGTGCTGCAAAAATATTTATGACCCCTTCACAACCTGCACACACTCCACAGGTAGAATTTTCACTAGCCAGATGCCCCACCAGCCCCCGACTATACACACACAGGTGCTAAAAGGCCTCAAGAATAATGATGTCCTTCCTGAGTCTTGCTGGACCTCCTTAGGAGCCATTGTAACCCATAATAATGCCAGCTATTAGAAACTAAACGAAAAGTGTAGAGAAGTTGACAAAAGAATATGTCTTCCTTGTAGGGGTGCTCCGATCAGGGTTTTTGAGCTTCACAACCTGCACACACTCCACAGGTAGAATTTTCACTAGCCAGATGCCCCACCAGCCCCCGACTATACACACACAGGTGCTAAAAGGCCTCAAGAATAATGATGTCCTTCCTGAGTCTTGCTGGACCTCCTTAGGAGCCATTGTAACCCATAATAATGCCAGCTATTAGAAACTAAAGGAAAAGTGTAGAGAAGTTGACAAAAGAATATGTCTTCCTTGTAGGGGTGCTCCGATCAGGGTTTTTGAGGCCGATACCGATCACCGATACCGATCTTTTTAAAGCCTTCTTTTGATCATTTATAACTATTTATAGTGATACTCCAATCAGGATTTTTAGACATTTATTCAGGGCCTGAATTTCATTTTTGAAAATGGGAGAAATTCCCCTCTTAGGTGACTCTTGTGAGAGGGGAAGCAGCGTTCACACAGGAGTCCACTACTGATCCGTGGCCATTTACCACAAACACAACATTTATCCATTATTTTGATTTAAAATTTAAACATTGTCACTGAAAATTTTCAGCATTGCAATTTTTTTTTTTTTACACAGCACAGTAATACACATACATGTTTAAACACAATAAATATAAAAACACATTCAATACTTTTTACTTTTGCATTTACTTCTAGATTTATATATTAAGTTGCTCAAGCAAGTGTCAAAACATTTAAACTGCTTTTCTTACGTTATCACAAACTTACCATTGACAGAAACTGACATTGATAGTCAGCTCTACTGCCTTTCCTTTTGCATTGGAATCTTTATTACAAGCAGTCCTGCGGTTCATAAAGAACTTTCCTACCTCCACGAGTGCCATCTATTATTGCCTTGTTGATCTAAAAGTGCTCTTTTCCTTTAAACCTAGCCAAAAAGCCATATGTGTTGATTGTGAAACACAGTAGACTTTAATAATATGCATTTATGGTGTAATTACTAGATTTTCATGTTCGTGTTCATATTTACTGCAAACAATGCACTGTTACTTTAATTCAGCGCTTGCAGCGCAGCAAAAATAGACTCGGTCTGGAAACGATCTCTGCACTGCAGCAGACGCACCGCTCCTGAACGCACTGCCGGACCGCAACAGTCTGCAGTGTGCACGCTTTATTAATCCGACAGACACGATGTGGTGATTTGAAGCCATTTGCGTATTTTGAGAGAGAAAGAGAGAGTGCGCGCGGTGATTCACTCACCCTGTTTGTGAAATTACATCACACACAAGGTTTTCAAATTACTTTAGAAGTTATTTAATGAAGAAATATGAAGGTGAGTACCTCACCTTCAGCATTATAATTATTTTACCCGCTTTGGACAGAGACCGAGACGGTGCTGCTGCATGTCGTGCCAAACCTCTCACGGCAGCATCATCAGCTTGAGATCGTTTTTTTGAGATCTGCCTTTTTAGAGACCGCCGATCAATCATCCCAACGTGATTATCGGCCGATAGTGATCCGAAGTCGATCAATCGGAGCACCCCTACTTCCTTGGTTCCCCTCTCAAAGCCAGAAAGTTTTAATATTCTTTGTAAGTCTCCCCTTTTAGTTTAGATGTGTATTGTGCAACAGATTCTTATAGGCTGTTTTCCTTTTGCAGAAACGCAAGCGCAGAGAGAAGGACGATACAGATGCAGTCAGTCTATGCAGCTTTGACTTCAAGGTAAGAAAACTAGCAAAACAACATGGGTTTTGCAAGGGCATATTTGGCACAAAAGATTTATCTAAATACACAAATCAAGACCTCTGCCATATTTGTCAGCAAAATCAAAGCCATTTTGCACAAGAATCCTAGATGAAATCACTTGTGGCAGAAATCAAAGCCTTTTAACCTTAAACTGGAGGAATTTAATCTTAGAAAATCTTTCCACTGATAATCTGAAAGATTATTTATTTCTGTCAAACCCGTAAACTTTCCATGATTACGGTCAGCAATTATCCTCTTTTCAGTAAGGACTTAATTAAGATGTGCTGCTGTGTAAACTAACAAGTTGAGTAATTTGACTCTGCACTGATCTTGACTCCTCTCCGTTTTATTTTCATACTTTTCTCCGTCTGAAAGGGAACAATTGACAATACACATTCATAGCCACCCAGTGTTTTTTAGTTTATTAAGAGGTCACACTGAGCACACCCTGATCTTCTGAACTTTGATAGACAGGAGAACAATATAACTGAAATGACTTTCAGTCTTGCGCCAGCAAGATGAGAGAGCTCTGATTCACCAGGGCCTTCATGCCTTAAGGTATGGAAAAAAAGCTGAAGGTTATTACACAAAAACAACAACTCATAACAAAATACCCAACATTGGCAAATCCATTTTTTTTGTATAATATTGCTAGAATAGATTATAAATCATAGATAGATCCACTAAAGAAAAAGTCATGCAGGAATGAATTGAGACCTCAGTTCCTTCAATTCACATCTTTGAAATGTTTCAGTCACTTGTCCATTCTGACCCAGACAATGAAACTTGTTTCGCTAAACAGTCCATTAAACAAAAGTTCCCAACTCCCCTTCCCCACAGCCCACCTTTGTGAACGCATATTGGGGAAGGTGGGGGTTTTGTACAATCGACTGTCCTGCAGGTACACGCTTTATTTCACTCTGCACTCCCCTCAGGGCCTTGTTCTGATGAGTTTACATTGTCATCTGCTGAGACTGTCGAATTGAGATTTGTTAAATGCGTACTCTTCAGATTCTGATTAATGCATCCGCCGAATTTGCACAAACTAAGAAGCGTCATAATATTGTCTTTAAATGGTCACAGTTAAAGGTCTTACTCAATGACTAATTTAACTTGCGTAGCTTGAAGTCTGATCAGATTGCGATATATTGTTTAAGTCTGTGAGAATGAGAAGTAAAAGGGCTGTACACGTGTGGGATGTGTCCTGACTCTGTTGTGTGTCTGGACCAAGGGGTGTGTTATTAGTTACCTGCTATGTTTGGTGGCAACCACCTCTGCTGAGGGTGCATTGACTCAATTGTAGTTAAATATACTTGAGATCAGGATGTATGTGATTTTTATCTGTTTTTCTGTAGATGGAGTTTTGGTTGCACAATAAGAAATGGCTAAAAAGCTAATTATGGTTCCACACGTTTAGCGAACCCATTGTAATGGTAAAAATGTTGACAAATGTTGACTTGTTTACTGCAAGTCACATGATGACTTGAAACAAGTTTGGGTTTATCTGCCTGTCTGTCGGCCCTCTGATTTTGTGTTTCGGTTTTAGTTTCTGTATTTATAAGAGGATGTTGCAAATGAGTGTCAGGAACTAAGATAGATTATTATAGAGACAGCTTGCCTTAAAATGAAACGCTTGTCATTTCCTCACACGAAATGAGTTTAACTAGCCCGAATATTATAAAAAAAAATAATGGAGAAAATTGAATAGGAGTCAGAACAATCAATCAAAAACATTTTCAAAATACAAATATCAGGGAAGGAATTTTATTTCACTATTTAAAGGGTACCTGCAGGATTTTTAAATTCAAATATATGGCATTTTATGACCCTTTTAAGACCTGCATAAATTAAATTAATGCCATATGAGGAATGTCTGGTAACATATTTAACCATAAAAGGACATTTACAATTCAGGTACAGGTTTTCACAAAAAAAAGAAAAAAAAAGAAAGAAAGATAAACATCACATTTTTAGGAAAAAGTCAGATGTAGGCTATAAATATTATATTAACTTAAAACATAAAACTCTTACTGTCTTAATTGTTTAGATTATTAGAAGGCACATTAGCTTCTTATCGATTCACCGGTTCACATTTACAACTGTACGTGTTTGCTGCGTAAAAACATGGGTCGATTTTCACATTGGTCTAAACAAAAACAGCAAACGGGCTTCTTGAAAATGCAAATTCATTTCCTGCAACTAGGTGACCCTTTTGGAGTGGCAGAAATAGCGGTTTCTCCGGTAACGGCTGTACACGAAAGAAGCGCTGCACTCACAAACACTACATTATCAGGCATTATAGAAAAGTTTAAATGAAAATATCATCAAAACTTTTCTGAAGGTAGCCGGTTCTCTTCAGAGATACATTCACATAAAAACACACACGCCACATTTTGACTTTGAAATGTGCAGCGCTCTTATTTACTCAATTAAATCCTATCCTTTTGAAGCTTAAATCACATTAATCCATAATCATCCATTCTTGTCTTTCCGTCCCCAAATCTAGGACCTCTTGAATTAGGGAAGGAATTTTATTTCACTATTTAAAGGGTACCTGCAGGATTTTTAAATTCAAATATATGGCATTTTATGACCCTTTTAAGACCTGCATAAATTAAATTAATGCCATATGAGGAATGTCTGGTAACATATTTAACCATAAAAGGACATTTACAATTCAGGTACAGGTTTTCACAAAAAAAAGAAAAAAAAAAGAAAGAAAGATAAACATCACATTTTTAGGAAAAAGTCAGATGTAGGCTATAAATATTATATTAACTTAAAACATAAAACTCTTACTGTCTTAATTGTTTAGATTATTAGAAGGCACATTAGCTTCTTATCGATTCACCGGTTCACATTTACAACTGTAAGTGTTTGCTGCGTAAAAACATGGGTCGATTTTCACATTGGTCTAAACAAAAACAGCAAACGGGCTTCTTGAAAATGCAAATTCATTTCCTGCAACTAGGTGACACTTTTGGAGTGGCAGAAATAGCGGTTTCTCCGGTAACGGCTGTACACGAAAGAAGCGCTGCACTCACAAACACTACATTATCAGGCATTATAGAAAAGTTTAAATGAAAATATCATCAAAACTTTTCTGAAGGTAGCCGGTTCTCTTCAGAGATACATTCACATAAAAACACACACGCCACATTTTGACTTTGAAATGTGCAGCGCTCTTATTTACTCAATTAAATCATATCCTTTTGAAGCTTAAATCACATTAATCCATAATCATCCATTCTTGTCTTTCCGTCCCCAAATCTAGGACCTCTTGAATTATTAAGATTTTATTTATTCCTTTTAAGGTACTTCAGACTTTATGGCCTTAAATTTGATGCAATTAAATGTAAGACTTTTTAAGGAACCGTGAGAACCCTGTACCGTGATAGCCCGTCGGGCAGGGAGGTGATACTTTTTGGTAGCCTGACTGAAAGACACAATAGCCCTGGGATGTGGGGCTAGCGATTTTGCGAGCTCTGCCACTCTTCCACTGGGGCTGGAGCACTTTTTTAGAACCGGCTACGGCTCGCCTTTCCACTGGCAGGGAGCAGAACCCTCTACATCACCAACATGTGACAGGAATCTTGTTATCTCATGCAGAGCGTTGGTCTCTTCTACCGACCACTGCTGAACTGACATTTAATTGTTGTTAATTTACCTGAACTCTTGACGGCTTTTAAAAATAGTGCCTTTCAAACTGCAGTCTGTAGTGGAAGCTCCGCCTACTGAAATCATATGTTCCCTTGTTCAAGACCAGCAAGGTTTTGGGGCCGATTCGGAACCAGGTACAAAAGTGCATCCCGGATCCCAATTGGGCTCCAGTTCTGGCACCAGTAAGAGGGGCTCATATGATTTTTGTGCTATATTCCAAGTCTTCAGAAGCCATACAATAGCTTTTAAATCAACTACTTTCTTCAAAAGGTCTTATTTTTGTTCCACACAAGAAATGTATACAGGTTTGGAACATCATGCTGGTGTGGAATATTTACATTTACATGAAGGGTTTCATATTTACATTTTGTAAACATCATGGAGGAAAAAGACAGATAAGATCCCAGACAGAAGATGAATGAATGGGGGATGGGTCATGAAGCAATTGATAGAGTGATTCCAGAGAAAAACAGTTGGGTGTTCCTGTGTTGGGTTTATACCAACACACTCAGACGTCACACGCACCTACAGCCTATTCCCAGTACGGGCTTGTCTTTTAGCCACATCTTTGTTAAGGTACATGAATACTTGGTACCTTGTGAAACACGGTTTCCTGCAACACTGATGAGAAACAGAACACTTTCAAAGAACTTGGACAGAAGAGATAATCTAGAGAGCTTTATCGTAAGGTGTTCTTTATTTTGATAATCAAAGTCTGTACAAGTATTGATAATGCATCCTGGAACATCCAGTCAAAGAATTAAATTTGAAATGCCAGCAGTCAGTCATCTTGTCTGAAATACCATTGAATTATCCACCAGGGGGCAGCACCACGATCCACTGCACACCTTTCCGCTCACTGCCTATTCAGCAGAGGTTCATCAGATTGTAGCAAGTTAGCACACATTTTCCCGTTAGGCAAGCTCACACACGGCTCGCATGAAGTGAGTCACTCTTGTGTGATGGTGTTTAGCACTGAAGCAGGAGTGCTGTGTTTGTGCTTCACACCCAAATGTCCAGCTGTCATGTGTGTCGAGGTGTTAGCCCGCAGAGGGTGCAGGCTGATCCGCGCTCTCATGCAATATGGCTGCCACACCTCTCGTCAAAACAGTATGAACAGTATGAAAGTGTCTCCACATGGGATAAGTAAAGAAGGGAACCCTGTTATTGAGCTCACCCACACCGATATAAAATTGAGCCATACATATTCTTTTTTTTTTTTTGTGCACAACCATTATGTGCCGAGTAGTCACATGACTAAAGCCATGACTATTGCTACCA